TCAGTTAAAGCCAACACATTTTGGGGGTTCAAAGGGTCCTCCTTTATCACGGCTGAAAAAATAACAGGTAGAGGAAAAGGGAATGTTGAACATTCTAAATATAGCACGTTTCCTCACCATACACCAGTCTACACGAGACATGTGCCGTACTATGACCATTATTTCTCAGAAAGCTGCCTGGAAAGTAACTGATCCTCCAGTCACCAGTCCTAAGCTATTAGAAACCGCAGTCCATTGCCCCACACCTCCTCCTAATTGGTTTACTTTTACATTTGGATAGTTTAGTTTTTTTTTAACCATTTTAGCATATTAGGCTGCAGTGTTTCATCCAATACTGTAACCATTCATGAAGAAATGAAAGAAATCAATCCATAATCCCTTTTTTAAATTTTGTTTTTTCAGAGCCTAGCCTTTAACTACTGTACACAGGGAACCGGTTATTTTAGTATGGAAGGAACAGGTCCCACTGGTCTACAAAATACATTTATCATTAAACCACAAAAAATGAAAAGAAATCACACATGAATCTCACATCATATATGGATTATTTCTGGCTGTATCATTGAAGGAAAAAAAATATTGTTCTATAAAATGTAGCAGCCATTCTACGTTATGCCCTTTGATCCAATAGCTAATCTTTCTAATCCACCATAGAACATTCAGATGTGGGATTGCAGGCAACACAAGTGTCTACGGGGGCAGAAAGTAAAAATCTGGCCCTGTCAATATGACATACAGTAAATTTAAAATGAATCCCTGCTTTTAATGCAATCTTTTAGCAGAATGTAAGGATGTAAAGTAGTGTTCAAAGGGTTTTCCAGCATGCTGCCCTAATTTAACCACTTCAAGACCAGGTGTTTAGACCCCCTTCCTGGCCAGGCCATTTTTCAGTATTCAACGCTGCGATACTTTGACTGACGTTTATTCCGTCATGCAACGCTGTACTGAAATGAATTTTATACCATTTTTTGGGGACAGATAGAGCTTTCTTTTGGTGGTATTTAATCACCACTACGGGTTTTATTTTTTATTATAATTAGGAAAAATTATTGAAAATTTTGAAAAAAAATAGTTTTTTGTAACATTATGTTAGGAAACATTTATTATTACCCAGTTTTTTGGTCAAATATAAAAGATCAGGTCACGTCGGTTAAATAGACACCAAACATGTCAAGCTTTAAAATTGCGCGCACCCGCGACATCGCAGGAAACGACGGCAACCAAAATTGGCCATAGGCGACACTTTAA